CCAAGTGGCCAAGGCAAGTGTGCATTACCCATTTCATCACACCCCAGATTGTTAGTAATCATACCTTCCATGTTGGAGAGAGACCAGAGACAGAGCAGGGAATGGGGAATCAATTCACCTGAGTGCAAAACCTTTTTGGAAGAGGAGGTATTTGCAGAGGCAGAGCAGAGCCCTCTCCCTCCATGGACTGAAGGTATTTGGGGTCAGATCTTTGAACCTATTGCAAAAATAGTCATTTCAATTTAAATCACTCTGAGAGACATCCTCTGCTATGTTCCCTTAACCCAGCCCTGATGACCCAGAGGTGTTTTATAGGTGATGAACCCAAGGCATGGAGAATAACCTTGTAGGGGAACACATCAGGTAGCAAAACACCAACCTGACAGTAGCTCCTAGATCTCTGCGCTGCTGAGTGCCGGCTCTTCTGACTGCTGAAGTCCCTTTGGATATCAGGTAGAGCTGATTTAGGCTTAGTGTTTTCTTTACCTTGCCCTGACTTGCCTCAGCTCTTCCATGTATATAATTTCTCAAACATAGGTGGGAATGTGATTGCCCTCTGTTTCAATAGCCTTTTTCTTAGCTGTACCTAACAAGAACCCTGCACAATCCAAAGTCTTACAAGGGACCATTTCTCCCAGCCTCCTGGGCTACATTTGACTCAATCTGAGATGCTAAACAACCCCCTTAAAACACCTCCATATTTTCTATATCCAACCCCTCTTCTCCAAAGGCCCAGTACGTTTAATTTTTATGTCCATCATCTGCTTTTGATGAGAAGGAGGATTTCATGACTCAAATAAGCCCAAACAGCTGACAAGACCAAATCTTCAGAGGACAATAGATAGTTGAGTCTCCCACGAACCAAGGAAGAAAGACCAGAAAGCAAGACACAAAGCAGTTGAAGCAGATATTTCAAAGTTTTATTGTATAAATCTACAAAAGGCTTTGCTACAATAGCAAATAGAGTGTAGCACTATTCTGTTGACAGGTTCTAGTGGCTTGGTGTGATCTTGTAACTCCAACATGACACATGAGGAATAAAATGCCTGATACAGTCAGATCTAGGGCAAGTGATGTTGGCTTACAAAGACCTTTTGGCTTCAACCCCTGTAACCTGTAGTGATTCAATGTGTTTGCCTTTTGTACAAGGTTGTTTGAATTAATATCTCTAGTAAAAATAAAAACTCTAAAGTAGTTCTGTCAGAGTAAAATGTAAAATTACCTAAGGGAAAAAAAAATCCAGTAGTTGAAATCTTCTAAAGTTTCACACACACAACACATACATTCATCATTCACATGTCTCTGCCCCAGGAAAATAAACTACCAACCCTTCCTGGAGAGGCTGGTAATATAAACCAGGGTGCTACAAGTAAAGCTCCAATCTGCTAGGAGCAATAATTGAAATAAAATCAATCCAGGAGATTCAGTTCTGCACACTCCAAAAAGTCAGCTGAAAATGTATAAAACTCAGGACCAAATGATCAAGTAGCACAGACTGGCTAATTCGTTAAAAAGGCAGGAAAGTCTACAGAAAAATGAAATGCCTACAGAGGCAGTCAGGTCCCTTGAAAGGGACTGTGGAAATTAAGCACCTCAAAAATCAAACATCATTTTGACCTTGGGATGATGCCTGTGAAGTCTGCTTTTACATAGTTTTACATAATTTTCCAGTCCTGGACATTTTTGCTGAGTATTGTTGGAATGCATGTTAGGTCCCATTGGCTTAGAACAAATGAAAAAAACAGCACAGAATTTGGTTAGGTAGATTTGATTGCTCAACACACATACACCCGCACAGACACACACACTCGCATACCCAGGACAGTTGGTTCTGGAAGAGAGAGGAACCAACTGGACCGTTTCAGCTGAGATGTGAACCAAAACTGTCTTGTTCAACTCACTCAAGCTCTTGTGTTTTTGACACACCTTGTGCACCCCCTGGATCTGGATGGAAACGGTGATGCCAAAGCCAGTTCTTGCAATAGCTCTGGCCCATGCAGATCCAGGAAGCGCTTGCAGTCTCACAAGACTGTCCTTTCTGGCAAGACAGTTGGCCCAGTTGTGCAGGCTCAAGCAGTTCAGACAAGCATCTGGACCTCAGGATGCTTCTCCGAACCTCCAGAGCCCTTTGAGGTTTGAAAACCGATACTCACATGAAATGAAGCTACCCTCAACTCAGGAAAAATGAGTTACAGCATTAACAGCATGGAGGGTTCGTAGCCTAGGTAGGGTCAGTCATTTGGCAAAGTTTATCAGGAAAGTTTTTTTTAACTGATAGTCTAGTGCAGATTTCTTGAGGTGAGTCCCAGTGGCCCCAAATTGCAGAGGTATGGTATCATCTCAACAGACAGTCAGTACAAGCCCAGCATCCTTGCTATCCCCAAAGACCAGACTTGGTTCTTCTGTTCTGCCTCTTGTTTTCTCTTTTCATTCTCGACACTTTCTTCAGTGTTTGGAGTACCTGGACCAGCTCAGACTTTTCTCGGTCTTGTTGGACGTGGCTTCCTCCTTTCATTCTGGCTCTCAGCACCTTGAACACAGCATTGCACTGTGTGAGAGGCTCTTTGGTGCAGGATTTTCCTTCCTGCAGCACTCGTTTCTCCCCTGGGAAAGCAGGACATTTGGACACAGAGAAGGAAACTCAGCAACAGCAGCAGAGATCTCTGTAAAAGAAAAACAAATGCAGGAGCTCAGGTTAGATATCCTAAGTGGAGAGTACAGGGGATTTTTCAGGAGATGGGGTTATATCCAGTTGTGCCCACTAGCAGGTCTGCAGCCTGAAGGTCCCACTAGATATTGGTGTCTAACCATTTACCCATGGTCCAGCAGAAAGCAAGGCATGATGCACACTGTCCCCAGAGCATTAATCATGGGGGCTGGTGCTTGGGTTGCTACATTAAGAGGCTGAAATACCACCTATCTGGTGCTGCTGGCCTCTTGCAGCCATTGAGGATGAGACCATCACTGATATTGGCACCTGGGTTATTCAGTATCTCAGGTCAGGGCACTGGGGAGGTTAAGAAAGGCTCAAAAGGGCAAAATGAGAGGTAATTACCTGTGCCAGTCTCTCCTTCAGACCCTGGATCCAGCAGTCCTTCAGACCCTGATCCTGACTGGGGATCCTGACAGCAGGTCTGATGTTGAATCCTTAGTTTTGAAGCTTTTTCCCTTTGGCTTTCCTTCTGAATCCTGAGCACTGTGAAGTGATTCCTTCTCAGAGGAGGATCTGAGTGAGTCACTGTAACCAAGGGAAGATAATGCTTGTAATGCACGGACAGCTCATCCTCAGCAATGACACCCACTCCCCCACCACTCATACCAGGTCATTAGTGAGAAACGCTCCCTTCTCTCTGCAGTCGCAACTGCTGCCAAACTAACCCACTCTGACAGGTGAGAGGAGAGACCCCACCATTCCTGAGACCAACTCACTTCTAGAAAGGATGCATAGCAGCCATGCATCTCCTTTGGGCTGTGCATGGACCTGTCATGTACTGTCACAGCTGGGGACTTAAGCCCAGAGCTTCACAGGGCAGGTCCTTGGGCTGGGCTGATGAAGAAGGTTCCCATTTCCTCCCCATATTAATTAGCAAGTGCAAGATGCTGTCCTGTTTGGAAACTTTTTCCCACTCTCTGTCCTTTATCTCCCTTTGGCTCACTCTCCCTTCCCCCTTCTCCTAGCCCTAATCTGTCACTTACAATGCTTCATGTCCCATTTCAGATTTTTTTTTTTTTTAATCCCAGTGCAAGGTTTCTATGGGATGAGCTATGGCTAATTTAGGTCTAAGGAGTGCAGAGAGGACAATATCAGAGAGCTTCCTTACCTTCAGCCTCTTGGAAGGAGGTATGCCAAAGGCCTTCTGAGCCACCGGTGCCACATGTCACTGCTGTAGTAGTGCCAGGACCATCTCAGGGGCATTCAGTTGCTGCATCCCTACTGCTTCTCTTGCAGAGGCGTTGCTTATTTGGTCTGGTGGAGAATGCAGATGATGCTCAAGATGTGTTCAGCTTCAAGAAACTTTGAAGAGCCACACTTCCTGAATATGTCTTGCAGCAGTTTCATCTCAAAGTCCTATCAATCATCAGGTGTTAGCCAAAGCAAAGCGAATGCTGAGCTGTCTCAACACAGAAGACCTCACAGAGTCCAAGTCTGTCTCCATCCACGGCAAGGAGATGTTGTAGAAAGTTCTTTGTGAATCTACAACAGTGGTCTGTCCTCAGGTGCTCCAAGACAAGGGTGCTAGGCTTTCCAAGAGAATTTTGAGTCTGTCTGTGTGAGCAGAAACTCTTTGTTGTGATGCACAGGCTGAAACTGCACTGGGACACACAGCTCTCTTCATTTCTTTTTGCTTTTTCACGGCAAAAGCTCCTGTTGTCTCCACACATCAGCATGGACTCGATTTTCTGCTCTGGGGATATTTTGCTCTGGATTTAGGTTGTGTTTGTCTGTTTCATTCAAAGTATAAGGATTTATTTCCCTTACCTCCCCCCCACCCTCTCAAAACAGCTCTGGTGCCTCCCCTCTCCACCTTGGCACCCTCTCTTCTCTGAAAGCAAGCAGACTACTCCTTCAATAAATGAGCTCAGAATTTAATTTGAAACTCTTTTTCCTGCTGAACTGCTGAATGCACAGTATAATGTGCAGAGAAAGGGTGAAATCTGCCTCTGCACTGCAGTGGCCTTGATTGGAGTAAACAGAAACTACAAGTAAACCAGTAAGAGCTTCTTGAGAGGAAAAAACATTAGAGCAGGTATTAGGTGCAGTGAAATGAAAAGCACTAAAAATAATCCAGATTCTTAAAGTTTTCAGTTCCTGAAGTAATACGATTTCTTCTAACAAACAAAAACAAAAACAAAAAAAAAATCAAAACCAGTATTTAAACCTTTGGAGCAAGGAAGAACAGGAGATTGTCAAGTGAACAAAATCCCAGTGGTAAGTCAGAAATGGGAAAGGGTCAAAATAAAAATGTCTCTTCAGGACAGGGAAACCTCTTCGAAAGAGGGAGGAGAGAAGTAGAAGGAGAGATCCAGATGGGTAGGAACCCTCAGCCTATTGCTGCACTTGTTGGAAGTCCTTGAAAGCCACGAGTGCCAAGTGGCTGCTTCTGAAGTTGGGAATTGTCTCTAGTTTCTTTGTCAGGGATCTCATAAAATTGTCCGTTCCCCACAGTGGTGTAAGCAGTATCTCCAGCACCACCGTATTGCATGGCTCAGGTGAAGTGGGCAGCCACATTTGAAGGTGCCTCTCCCCCATCGCTTCCCTCCCCCCACAAAGTCCTCTGCTATGGGCTGTTGGACTGAGCACATGTCATGTCTCAGCCAGAACCTCACTTCAAGGAGAAGCTTCCTAAATACGCCCCCTTCTCCCTTTCACATAAGCCAGACTGACGCCTCCCTTGGACTAGCTCATATGACAGTAGCGGGTGGGCTGGGGGGCTCAGGTTGAGTCCCATTGCTGGGCACAGGACTGACAGTGGTTGAGGGAGGCACGCTATCCACAGAATCTCCTGATTGAATCTCAGGGGTCCTCTGTGGGCTGGGTTCCTCAGAGTGGTCCATGTTGCCTTGGACTTCCTTCCCTCTTTGGATCAGCTGCTCTAAGGTCTTGGGTAAGGGGTAGCTCAAGAAGCGCTTCAGTTTGGGCTGGAGGGTGCCTACCACATACTGGATGATTTCCTCCTCATCTGCATCAACATAGAGGGTCTGGTACAAGTCTCTCTTGCGCCAAAGGAACTGGTCCAGGGGCTCGCCCTCTTTCTGGGGCAAATCTAGCTCCCTTTTGATAGCATCCCTAGTCAGAGTCCCCTCGCTGTACTGCAGGAACTCCTTCTTGAACTCAACCCAGTTCTTGACAGAGTCCTGCTTATATTCCCACCACTTTTTAGCTGGGCCGTTCATGTGATTTTGGATCTGAGACAGCCAGTATTCCTCTGTTCCACCCACCTGCTTTAAGTATTCCTCCAAGTGGCTCAAAAACTCCCTGGGATCCTCAAAGACCTGGGTTTCCACTGGGGAGGCTGGAGCATCCTCCGACACAGAGACCCACTGGTAGGAATCATGGGCCTGGGGGATGCTGGGAACCTCCCCAGGAGGAGGGGTCAGTGCATACATTTGGCTCATATCAAGGGCATAGTCATAAATCTCCCCCTCACTTGGCCTTATCTCTGGGCCTCCCACCCCAACAGACACAGTCTGCTTGCCATGGTCCCCAGGGCAATATTTGCCTCCCATGGACTCCAGACGGTCAGCCCACTTCTCTAGACGGAAAAAGACCTCCTTCCAAACATTCATCTCCCTCTTGACCCACCTCTCCAGATGGGCAATGGTTTCCTGGCACCTGGCCAGGCAGGCCTTGATGGACTTCTTCCATCTTTGGTTATCAGTTGGGACATGGTCCTCTAAGTTATTCTCTAACTTGCCCACTGATTTCTGCAAGCCTTTCAGCTCGCGCTCCACTTGCTTGGACACCTCAGACAGGAGGTGCCGATGGGTCCTCCTGACATGCTCCAACATTTCTGCCCTACATTTCCCTATCTGCAAAATCACATTGGGCTTGTTGGCCACTCCACGGTGCCCCTGGTAGGAGTGGATGCCCGCATTGGTGACATTATCCAGCTGCATGACGCTGACTATGCAAGTGTCAAACACAGAAAGAACTGGGTTGTAAGCCCTAACTCTCAAAAACCCTGCCACAACACTTCCCAAAAGACACACAGAGACTTCTAAACCCCCCCTCAAAGGACTTTTCCCCACAAACACAACCAAATCAGATATCACCGCAGAGTGAGCTGTTCGGTCCCTGTGGATTCCGGAGAGTTGTAGGCAAATTTCTCCTGGTGTCCAGCTGGAAACGCCAGTATCACGTGCTCAGGGTGTCCCAGAGAGAGTGGAGATCCTCCAGGAGCCACGGAGAGGAGTTGGCTAAGATGTCCAGCCCCACACGTGTGCCCGTTACCTGCTCTTCCAGAGCGGAGAATCTTGAACAGCAGGGAGTCTTCGCCAGAGAAAAACACACAGAGAGACGCACACAGAAGCTGGAAGCTGCTGCAGAAAAATTCCCAGTGATTTCTCCTCTGGTGAACTTGTCGAGTCGAAAGCGCTTTTACTAAGAGATGCAAAGAGCTGCTTCTCTTCCCTGTCTGAACTGCCACTAGTCCCGGCTCTTCCATCTACTTATACCCGGCACAGCTCAACATGTGGGTGGTGCCCTGCCTCCTCTCGCACTCTCAATGCAGCGTTCATTGGAGGAAAAGCGAGGCCGGTGTCTGTGGCAACCCAGATCTTGGCAGCCTCCCCTCGCTTTCCCACCCCCTCGCCTACGCCCCCAGACTCGACGCGAGAGAGAAAGGTGCTGGAGACAGTTGGGTAGATGGATGAGTAATCACACCTTCCGCCTTTCAGCTTGCAGGGAAATATACTTATTCATTCCACAACTATTTACTCAGCAAGGTCATACATTTAGCATGCTTCCCCTGGCAGGACTCACAGAGGGGGAGATGGGGAGGAATTTCGGTGTGTCACACCAAGGAGGACGCCCACAGGGGCCCCCGCACACCCTCACGTGTGTGCTCACACACACACATGGTGAGCTCACTGCTAATGCAAATTCTTGGAAGTGGTGGTAAATCTGCAGAAAAAAAAAAAAAAAAAAAAAAAAAAAAAAAAAAAAAAGGAAAAGAGGAGGGGGGACAGAGAGGGGGGAACACTCAAAGGAGCCACTTCAGTACAAACTGGACTTTCCAAAGCATCGATAGGTGGGAGTCATCCCCACTGCTTAATTGCACCAGACCAATCGCTATCTTGGGAATATTCGATAAGGGAGGGGGACGGCATCCTGATTTTTTACACGAAATTAAATCCGCCCATTAAAAGCCTGTTCCGTACTTAGCTTGAATCAGATGCTTAATCAGTTAGCCAACCCACAAGCACAGATGAAGCTACATTTGTTCTTTGCTCTTGACAAAGCAGGAAAAGCCAACCATAAAAGGAGTCCCCGGGTCTTACATAAACCAGAGATAAAGGATTCCCTAATCCTAGAGAGTTCCCTGCCGGAACACCCTCGGAGAGGTGCTGAGGACATCCGGGGCTTCTCATCCCCTCCCAGTGACAGTGACCGGAGGCAGTGGGATGCTGATTCATTAATATCACCTAAAAAGGGGGTTTCAAGCCTGTTGCCTGTGGGGAGGTGCCTTGCCTCCGCTTGGAGTGGTGGGCAGTGTGCCAGGGAGGTTTAAAACGGGTCCCTACTCCCATGGCTTGTGGTCATGTGTTTCCTGGTGGGACTGTAGCCATCCTGGTAAGACTGAAATCCAGAGGACATATCTGGTCTTTCAGTGAGGCCCTGCTGAAAGGGGGTCTCAGTGACCCCATGCAGCTGGTTAAAGCAGAGTCTTTATGGAGCAAATAGACCGTGGTTAAGCTGAAGGGCATGAGAGGCAGGGGTCAGGACTCACTTTCCCCACGCCATATCCATGTGTTCAGGGAAGACAGACATCTGATCCCTACCAGGTGATGGCATATGAACAAACGCTTCTACCATGTGTCTCTCGGGGAAACAGGAGGGTTATTTAGGGCAGCAGGAAGCTGAAATAGAGGGGCTGCATGGTTTGGGTGAAGATGGGGGGTGCCAGTGGGTGGGGAAGGGGACAAAATCCTGAGGGTGTAAACGCAGGATTCCTAATCCAGCAAACCCTCACAATTCCACTTTATCCCCCAGTGACAGTGATGTGAATGTCAGAGCACTACGCTCTCTGCCTTGCTTACTTCTCCACTTTCACCCAGCTTTCCTGAGCTTGAGATTTCTGTGCATCTGTGTTTGTGTTTAGAAAGGATCAAATGTCAAACATCTGAGGGCTTAGGATGGATCTGGAGCTTTTTAAGCTGTGGTGTCTATACCCCAGAGAGTCCACCTTAAGCCTGTATTGCTAGTAAGTGCTCACATGAATTGGGAGATACTGTGCAATCCATGTGTCTCTAGATGGGTGCAAAGGATGTTCTCCAGAAAGGTTTTCACCCGGGATCACCAGAAATGACCCAAAAGAGACTGCTAGTGGATAGGGATGGATTATAGACTGTATTTAACTTTGCAAGGTGCTCTGATTTCAACTTCATCTTGTCCCCTTAAACACCACAATGTGGGATGAGCTGGCTATAAAACTACTCCATTAAATCTGTCTATTTCCAGCCTCTGCTGCCTCTCTTTTCTTCTCCCTTAGTTTTCAGTGTGTGGGGATTTTTCAGAGTCTGAATGGCCTCATTTTGTGCTAAGGTCTGGTCACTGTATCTCAGGATTGTTAAGGCTGGAAGGGACCTCAGGAGGTTTCTAGCTCAACCTCCTACTTTAATTTGAGTAAACTACTGGGTCAGATGAGTTGGTTCAGGTTTCAGATATTGAAAACCCCAGGGATGGGAATTGCACAACCTTCTCTGGGCAACCTGCTCCACTGCATGGCTGTCCTTAGAGGGAAAACCTTTTTTCCTTAAACCCAGGCTGAGCATCTTGTTTCAATTTATGCCTGATGTCTCTTGTCGTCTCACCAGTCCCGCCTGTGAAGAGTCTGGTTTTATCTCCTTGATAACCTCCCTGCTTTTATGTCCCCCGAAGCCATCACTTCTGAAGGATGAACAAGCCCTGGTCCCACTCCAGGCACCAGGCAAGTGTTGTAGCCCTGATCATCTCAATAGCCTGGGCTGAACTCATTCCAGTTGATCAATGTCTTGTACTAAGGGCCTTAAACCTGGTTGCAGCAGCTAGATATGGTCTAATACAGACTGGGCAGAGGGGGATAATCACTTCCATTGATCTCCTGTCTGTGCTTATGCTACCGCAGTCCAGGATACCTTTTTTGCTGCCAGGGAACACTGCTTGATCATGCTCAGATTGATGTCCCCCAGCACCCCCAGGTCCATTTTGGAGCCCCAGCCACTCAGTTGCTGTTAGGGACTCTTTCTTCCCGGGCACAGCATTTGTTTTTGTTGAATAGATGTTCAAGGCCAGGTTGGATGAGGCTTTGAGCAGCCTGGGCTAGTAGAAGGTGTCCCTGCCCATGGCAGGGGGACTGGAACTAGATGATCTTAAAGGTCCCTTCCAACCCAAACCATTCTATGATTTTATTATTCTATGAATATCATAAGGTTTCTGTTGGCCATTTTCTCCAGCTTGTCCATGTCTCTAGGTTCATTTCATTCAGAACCCTTTCCATAGAGCTCTCCTCATCTATGTGCTCTTCTTCTGTGGAGGATGGTGGGGGAGACAGGAGAGGGGAGGAAGAATGGGGGTTTTCCTTCTGGACCTGCTGGGGAACGACTTGCTGATTAAGGCATAGTGAGCATTTTTCATTGTATTTCTAATTAAAGTAAGGTGCGTGGGTAGAGGAGGAGGAGAGAGGGGAGCCGGAAGCAAAGGGAGGAGGGAGACATAGAGAGCTCAGAGCTGACAGGGAGAGGCAATTTGAGGCAGACAGACAATTTCTGGGCACAGAATGACAGACGGACATGGAAGGACAGGAGCAGGCTGGGGAGGAGGCTCTCATTGTCACAGCGTCTTTATCCCACGGCTTCATAAAGATGCAGCTGGAGTCCTGCCGAAGGGACTGCTTGGCCTTGGAGGAGCTGGCAATGGGATGGACAGAGGAGATGGCAGGGCATGTGGTGGTCTGGGTGGCCACAGGAGGTCCAAGACAAGAACAGGGCAAGAAGAGCGGAAAGGGAGGTGGGAAGCAAGTATGACATAGGAAGAAAAAGGGTGAACAGTGACCAGGGGTAGTTTTGTCTAAAACAGATGAGCACGAGCAAGGAAGGGAGAGAAGACAGCAAAAGCTGTCATCAGCAAAAGCTGTGTCATAGCACAGTGGGGATCATGTCAACGTGGGTTGTCCCCCTAAACCTTCCTTAACCGTTTTAGGGCACAGTGGATTAGAATCAGACCAGGAAAAAAATAAAAATAGGAGAAAGAAAGAGAAAAGCCAACAGGCTAATTACAGGCATACAAAACAAGCACGTGGCAGCAACAGAAAACCCCACTGTGAGGAAGGGGACCAGATGAAAGGGACACTGAGTCATAGCCAACACTGGCACCTTCCCCTGGGTTTTCACAACAGTGCTTTGCCAAGGACACAATGTTCCCAGAGCCTGGTGGCACTCATCAGTTGCAGCCCTTCAAGATATGGGCTTTTGCTGCACCTCACCTTACAGTAACTTTGATGGGGCTTGGGTTTTTTTTTTCTATTGACATCTCTTTGCCACCTCATTTGGTTGAGTGTTTTGCCCAGATCTGTCTTATAGCAAGAAATGCCACTTCTTGGAGATGAGCTTGAAACTGTGAACCAGATGAACCTGGTGGGTAAGTGAGAAGAGGGGGATTCCAGGGCTTGGGAAAGCATATGGCGAAGAGGAGTTGTGCTGTCTTTCAGTGTCTTATACTCAGAAGAGCTCTGCCAGATGCTATATTACCCGAGTGCGATGCTAGGGTCCCTCCCCAATTATGCATTGTGATGTGCATTATGTTCCTTCTCTGAATCACTCTCTGGAGGACCCTGTCTTTCACCAAGGACTCTGTAAAGAGCCTAAAGTTAGAAGTCTGAAGGCAGGTGTGCAATTAACCCCATATTTTTGCAGGGACTAATTTTTCCTGAGGGATTTTTTTTGTTGTCCTATATCTACTGTGCTAGAATTTTCCCTTTCGCTTCCAGAATTGCTACC